GGTACAGATGGTCTACTATCTTCTTTTCTTCCACATTTACTGCATCTATCTTGAGGCTATCAGTTGCACCAACAAAGTTGGTTCCTCGGTCAGATCTATACAGTTTAACTTTACCTCTGAGAGCTTCAAATCTTTTAAGTGCATTAATAAAAGCTGAAGAGGACATTTCTTCTACCAACTCAATGTGTATTGCTCTTGTTGTAAGACAAGTGAACAAAATAGCCCACCGTTTAGAATTTGCTGATCCACCACGAGTTCTGCGTGTCGTTATAGTCCAAGGTCCAAAAGCATCAACTCCAACATTGGTAAAGGGTGGAGTATGTTCTAAGCGATCTGCTGGTAGATCACTCATCAACTGGACTTCTTCTTTACCTCGTAACTTTCTACACTGGACACAGGAGTGTAAGATTGATGAGATCACCGTTTCACGCCTGTAATCCAATATCCACCAGATCTAACAGCTCCTTCTGTAAGATGACGTCCTTGGTGTCGAACACTTTGGTGATAGTGACGTACTATAAGTGTAGAAATATGACTTTTACCAGGCAAAATGATTGGATGTTTCTGGTAACTTCCAAGACTTGATTGTTGCAATCTTCCGCAACCCTTAACACACCATCTTCATCTAAGTACGGGTTGAGAGCCATAATCGAGCTAGATTTTGGAAGATGCATTTTTGCTTCAAGAAGTCTAATTTCTTCTTTGTAAGTTTCCTTTTGAACTGCTTTGATCACAAATATTTCAGCTTTTCTGAAAGACTCTACACTTCTATCAGCTCTACCTTTAAATGATTTGGCACATGCACATCTCTGCAATAAAGCAACAGTATTTACTAGGCGATACCACTCAGAGAACCTTTCAAATCTGTGACACCCAATTGATAAATTGTCAATCACACAGGTTTTAGCTGCCTTTACCAGAGCATCTGGCCTTACTTCCTTATCATCTTCTGGTTGAACTAGCTGTGGAGTTTCTTGAGCAAGATCATGACGCCTACTCAGGAATGTTTCAGGTCCTTTCAGCCATATGTCATTACACGAGAAATCATTCACCATAGAGCGAGTTGCTCGATCAGCTGGATTCACAGATGTAGGAACATAATTCCATTGCTCTGGCTTAGTTGACCTGTGAATACGGTTCACTCTATTCTTTTGAACACGTAGAAGTACACCAACAGAGAATTATTTAGGTCAGGACCTGTCATCAACACATCATTCAATGATGTACCTCTAAAACTTAGCAGCAGAGTCAAAAAACACACCTGATACGACTAGGTTTCTTTGGATGATACACTCCAAACACTGGAAGATACCAACATTCTTCATTTTCTTTCAAAGGTGGTGCTATTTCAGCATGACCTCTTTCCAAAAGCTTTTTCATAAAGTCTAGGAAATGTTCTCTTTTAACAGAATTGAACTGAAGACTCTTGGCTAGGCTATTGGCACGTCTCACAGCCATGGATTTATTGTTCGGCTTTTCTTTAAGGGCTTAAAAGGTAAAGGTGCACTCCCAGTTACCTGCTGGTTCTTTGACAAATTCTTTCTCCATTAACTTCAAGAACATTTTGTCTTCTGTGGATTTTCCAGGTTCGTCATCATTTTTGGTTCGGTGAAACACTGTAGAACCAATATCATTTTCCTTCCATGGTGTAAAACCGCTGTGATATCCTGTGTCTTCTTGTACACATATACAACTTGGACAAGGCTTCAAGACTGATGGACGACCATCAGGATTTACATATATTTTCCTTACATTCACATTCTTTGTTGCGTGATGCTTCCCCAGGCAGACTTCACCTAATTACCCAGCCTAACTTCATCTTCTGGGCAAAGGGTGTACCTGGTGGACCTGTTACTTGATCTAGTACATGGTGAGCTTCGGGTAGATCTCTACCAATCAATAATTGAATCTGAGCCTGATCATCAAGAGGTGAAATTTCTGAACCAATGTCTTTGAGGTGTGGATGAAGTCGAGCAATGTTGGGAGTTGGAATCTCAGTCCTATTATTAGGAAGTTCATCACATTCGATGACTGTAGGAAGGCTCATCTGTAGACTACCATCAACAGCTTGTATGCATAGTCCACCAGCTTTCCTTCCTGTCATAACTGAACGGCCAGAGCAACTAGTTATGATGTATTCCTCTGCCACAGAGCGAACATCAAAGAAATCTAAAAGCTCTCCTTTAGCTAAAGATTTGTTACTCTGATCATCTAATATAACATATGACTTCATACGCTTCTCGGGTTACTCTCATGAAAAACGTAAACTGGCAAAATTTTAGCACAAGACTTTCCAGGAAATTCCTCACATACACCAGTACTCTTGTTGGTCACATCTAAAGCTTGTTCACGTACTGACTCTTTAACAACACTCTGCTCCGGCTTCTCCCTGCCATGAGCCTTAGTACTTGTCTCAGGAACAGACTGAAATTTCTTCAAATGCATAGCAGTGCAATGGTATTTACTTCCACAGTCTTTACAGGTTATGTCCTGTGCAATG